GCTGGTCAGTCTTACTTCTGTGCCTGGCAAGATCATGGAACAGATCATCCTGGAAAATCTGCTAAGGCACATGGAAAATAAAGAGGTGATTGGTGACATACTACATGGCTTCACTAAGGGCAAGTCATGCCTGACCAATCTGGTGACCTTCTACAACAAGGCTGCAGAGATGGTGGATGGTGGCAGAGCAACTGACGTCACCTACCTGCATTTGTGCAAGGCATTTGACACTGTCCCACATGACATCCTGGTCTCCAAACTGACAAGGCATGGATTTGACAGAGGGACCACTCAGTGGATAAGAGATTGGCAGGATGGCTGCACCCAGAGAGTTGTGGTCAATGGCTCAATGTCCAAATGGGGGCAGGTGATGAGTGGTGTCCCTTAGGGGTCAGTATTGGGACCAGTGCTGTTTAACATCTTTGTTGGAGACATGGACAGTCCTACAATATAATGTAGACAATCATGCATACTCCTTGTTGTCATGATTTTGGGAGGAAAGACAGAGTTTGAATGCTATATTGGATTGTGACACTGTACCCACCATATAAGCCATAAATATTATTATTATTGTTATTATTATTATCTCACATATGCCTGAATTTACCATTTACACCCTGCAATGAATAAAGCTCTGCCCAGAAAACAATATTAATTTTTAGTGATGCTTGAGTTTGGAGAATACCAGTGTCTCCATCAAAAATGTGCACCTTTGGAAATGAGACAAAGACAAAAACCTCATATGAGAACATGGGGGTTTATGTTTTCTGAGGCTGAGTTATTTTTGGCAATTGCTGGGATAATGCCTGGTTACAATCTACTCACTATTTTTCAATGTAATGCACACAGTAGTGCTGTTTGATTTATCACTTCCCTATGTTCCTTGCTGTTTGATATCCCTCTTTCACAGTTACGTGTTTGGGAAGCTAGAATATCATACGGCAGTGAAAGGCAGTTGGCAAAGCTGAAGGGGAGGGTAGTCTAGGTGACTACCAGATCTCTCTCCAGACCATTTTAGTAGGGTTTCATAGCATGCACTTGCACCTCATGGCCCTTGAAGTTCGTATGGTTTGTGTTGAGTGGAATGAGACATTCCAGTCTAAACATTATCAGACTTTTTTGTCAAGTAATGTAAAACTAAGAAACAAGATGTGTAAGAAAGGTTTACATTCACATGTGTGTAGACATTAGTTTTTGTCAGGCATTAGTTCTCGTTTAGAATTGAACTTGAAGATTGTCAGGTGTTTCTGGGTGACCTGCTGTGGATTCTGTGGTGGTCCTGCTCTGGCAGGCAGGCTGGACTTCATCTCCAGAGGTGCCTTCCAACCTCTGCCATTCTGTGATTCTGATTCATTTGGATTGGATTTTTTTTCTTTATTGGATGTCTATAGCTTTCAAGTTTGTGGAATCAGGCTCATATTAAAATAAATGGGAGGCTGCAGTGGCAACACCTGTGATTCTCAGAGTCCTGCTCACTGGCTTGATGAGAGCCACAAGGGTGTTCTTGGCCATTGTTGTTGGTTTTTTCTTTAGACATCTGTGTGTGTTTCTGCATGGTATGTGCATGCCTTAGTGTCACTGTTTGACTCAGGTTCGACAACAATGCTCTCGATCCCCTCCCCCTCCCACCCAGCTAGGGAAGGAGAGAGAGAAAAAGAGAGAGACTTGGCTGGATTGAAAACTAAACTAGACAGCTTTCATTAAACTCTAATGATATAAAAAATATATACAATTATATACAAATGTGTTCAGGAATGTGCACAAGCCTTTTGCCTCTGCCCACCCCCAGCAACTCCCACAGCATCTCCTGAGCTGTGAACAGTCCCGAAAAGTCCCGGAGCTGCTGGGGAAAGCGCAGAGTGATGAGGGTCAGGAGAGCTGGAGCCTGAGGGTCAATGGTGATGGGTGGACGGAGTCCTCCCCAGACGCCAGCCATGGATGGAAGAGAAGGGAAGAAGAAGCAGGAAGTTGTCTTCTGTGATCTCTGACCTTACTCTGAGCTTATGTAGATATATGGAATGGAATATCTCTGGCCAATTTTGCTGTCTGTCTAATTCAGCCTCCTACGGGGGGGTCACAGATCTCCCCATAGTGTCTGAGCTGGCAGAGTGAAGGTGTGACCTTGAGGACCCAGCAGTTAGAAAAACATTCCACTGTCTTATCAGCCTGAGTTAGAATAGAGTGTTGCTAGCTAAAACAAAACTTACTGAAGGAAAAAAAAATTAGTAAAATTGGCTTCATCCTGGCTGAAACCAGGACACTTAGAGATGCCTTTTTCTATCCACTAAGGAGAGTCTCCATGTCTACATTATATCAGAGAAATTAAAGGAGCACTAAAAATTTGTTTTAAGAGAGATGAGTCTTTTTTTTTTTGAGCAGATGGCAGTTATTAGTTAGTTATTATGACATTAATAAAGAATTCAGTCGAAGAGCATAAGAGAATTTTTAGTTGAATCTGACTAAAGTTCTGATTCCAAATCCTTGTCTAATAAGATTTATTTGGATATAGAAAAGTAAGCTAGATTTGAAATCTTGTATTTTGGGTGCTGTTGCTCCCTGGCATAAGAGCAGCCTCGAAAAGCTAAGTCTAAACTGTAAAGAACAGAAACCGTGTTTCGGGTGCAGGCTGACAGTCCTTCTTTTACCAACAATGGGCTAGCATCACATTTTTTCCTATCAGCTTGAAGAGGTCAGGTTTGAATTTGAATTGCTTGCCTGGACAGAAGTCAGATGGCTATCACTGCTGTTCTGTCTCAAATTACTCAACTTGTATTAGCCAAACTGAATGAAGACTATGTTTATTTGCAGTGTATGTATAACCTTATGCTGATGCCAAACCAGAAATAGCCAAGACCCAAGAACACTGGATCTCGCCTTCATTTCCTGAGGCCAATGCCTTTTTCTGGTTGCTCAGGCACATGCTACTAGTTGCTGAGATTTCTGTTTAGCACTGGGAGCTGCTGCCTAATTCCCTGTAACAATTCTCCTGGCTTGGTTGTGCTGACTACAGCAAAGAATTGCTGCTACTGAAATTCCTACCACTGTCTTTCTGTAGTGATAAGAGGCTTTCATGCCTACATTAGTTTCTGCAGTTAATTAATCTAAGTCTTTCTAATACTTGCTGTGGTAAGGATAGAAAGGCAATAACAGTGCAGATAAAGGATGAAATGGTTTAATCTCATTAATAAACAAAATATGTTCTGTCCTGGTACAAATATTAACTCCTCTTCTAATCAATGGGAGTTATGCAAGACATATAGAGCCAGGAAAATATATCTCAGCTATAAATGAAGGTGTGGTTCAGTTAGTGTGGTGCTGTTTTTTCTTTCCTGGTTTTAACATCAACTTCACATCATAATTAGCAGAATGAAATTCCTGCCAGCCAAGTACATAGTTTGGACGGATTAAAGAGAAGAGGTATGAGAAATGATAATTACCTTGTGCTCGTCAAGCTTCTATTGAAAATCTGACAGGATAATTACAAAATACCTGCTTTGCAGAATGTCTAGGGAAATTTTTAAAGAGCTATTTAAAATTGTTAGTTTATAATCTGTCCAAAAAGTTTTTTTCCCCCTTTTTGAAGTAGTGCATTACCATTTAGAGTTGTGGTACATGTTCAAATATACACCTTATTCTGATGTGTATTCCTGGTTGCGTTCCACTGCCCACCCCCAAAGAAAATTGCCCATAATTTTTTGCGTTACCCCACAAGATTCACCCACATACTCACCCTTAACTTTCAGCAGAACATTTTTCACCTGATGGAAACTGTAACCTTGTTGCTTTCAACAGTCTGAATCATAGTTATAGATAAGTTAACTGAGAGAAAAATGTTCTAGTGGACTACACAAAAATCTCTATTTTAACTGACAGGAAGAAGTTATTCTACTTTCATCACATTTTAATGTCTCGTCACTTGGCTTTTCTTCACCTGCTTTTGAAACTTGAAAATGCCACTCATCAAACTTATAGTTTTCTAAGACAGACATAAGTGTTAGAACACTGCTGATTTTTCTGAGAATTTGGATCACTGGGCCACAGATGCCTGCAGAAAGGCACAGAGCTGCTCTAGGCACCTGGTAGGGAGGACTAGAGTTCATGCAGGCTTTTTGAAGGATGAAGAGACTCAAGTGATCAGTTGTCTTGTAACAGATGAAGTAGAGCCCCCTAATACCAATTGTTTCAAGTCCCTGCAATTCAGTGTGAGTCATCTAGTATCATTATTGTGTTTAGTTAAACGGGGATGACCAGTGTCCTAGCTACAGGAGCAGGATTTCCCTGTATGGAGGTACTGTAAGCAATATTTAATTTCTCCCTGCCTTGTGCAGTTCCCAGAACATCTAACCAGCACGTACAGTGAGTTTAGTGCTTTCCAGAAGAGTCAGCAATTGCACATCAACAAAGTAGTTCATGTATCCACATGGGAAATCACTATTTTCTACTCACCTCTTAGGAGGAAGTAGTTGCAATTTGCTCTTGCTTTTCAAAATTCTCATATTTAGTCTCAGATGCCTTCAGGCATGACCAGGGAGTAGCCTGCAGACTGGCCAGCTGGTTCTGGCAGTCAGGACAGACTTTGAGTAACCACTCTCCCAAGGCGTGCCAAGACTGTTGAGAGACCACATGTACACCTTTATTGTGACAGGGACACTTAAATTTTGGTTGTGTCAGGAAACAGGGTTTGTGGACCCCAGAAAGGATGACCACAGATGAACTGGCTTGCTATACATAGCTGTGGTCAACTAACTGGTGTATTTGCCTCATTTCCCAAAGTGATGTTTTGGGTTCATAGCTATAAGGTTAATTACTGTAACATTTAAAGCTTAGAGTTTGTGTTTTTATATAAAGATAAAAGAATAGCCGGACATTTAATTAATTCTATATCATGTTCCTTGGTACATTGAATTACATGTTTCATAAGAATTACACAACCAGATTGTAAATGAGCAATTTTTATAGCATTCTAATTTCTCTCTTGTTTTTTTTTTTCCTTTGAACAGTTTATGAAGAGCCAGAAGACCCCAGTAACAGATCATTTTTTTCAGAAATTATCTCTTCAGTGTCAGATGTCAAATTCAGTCACAGCGGTAGATACATGCTAACAAGAGATTACCTCACTGTCAAGGTTTGGGATCTGAACATGGAAACAAAGCCCGTAGAAACGTACCAGGTAGGTATCTCTTATATCTTGAAGAGCAACAATATAAAGGCATCTCACTGTTTAAAAACTGAATATTTTCTTAAACTTTTCATTGCTTTGTCTGAGAAGCAGCCAGCTAAGAGAGCTGCTATTCAAGGGGGTTAAAATCCTCACAGTGGCATCCTTGTAGTTGGAAAAAGCAATTTCAGCATTAGAAAGGAAGTGTAAGGTTGGTGGAGTCAGGGTAACACTGTGGATTGAGCTCTTGAAAGAAACAGTGCTTCTATCAGGGGAAATCATCTCTTCATTTCGGCATCTATTTTCAAATGATGTATTTCACTATTAACATTTAAAAGAAACTGAAGAAAGAATTTTGTGTGTTGCTTAGCATTCTACTCCCACTGGGACTGCTGAGAGTTTACACCTTTGTCATTTCAGAACTTTTTTTTTAATTTTCATCTTTGTGTTTCTCCCTTGTGCCTAATTCTAGAAGCAATCAGTGTTAAACTCTAACATCACGACTGACACAGCAGTTTGTGAATGCCAGAGAGACACATCTGGCTGCTTGAATTCACTGAGATATTATCCAGACAAAATGCCAGTGGCTCCAGCCAGCACTGAGTTTGTACTCTGACATCTGTTCTGTTTGGCAGCAGAGGACTGAGCTTACCTTTTTTGACTGCCTTAAACAAGGGAAATATGTCTGTGACACAGAAACTGCTTGTTATAAAAATGCAGTGAGAATAATCTGTTAAGCTACCTACAGAAGAGTGTGCACAGTAGGAAAAATGTCATTCCTCTGGCTCGTACTGCTTACTTAGGGACAGTCCTGCAACAGTACTGGAACAAGCCCTTGCGTTCTGTGTCTATAATGGCAGGCAGGGTAAAGTGCTTCACAGTAACTATAATTAAGATTGGTTTTAAAATATCATGTCAAATAACATGTCAAAACAACTGAAGTTTTACATCAATAATGGAGTAGGGAACCTTGTCCCTGGAGAGGAATAGCTGGTCAAGCCAACCTGTTTGTCTTGACTTTGACATCTGCTTTTATTTCCTCATGTAGGTAGCTGTGAAACAAGCTGGTCACCTTTAAATCAGTCTGACACCCAACACTGGGGTCAATTTAAAAGTTACATTTCTCCATGCTGAGATGGGAAAATTGACTATGATGTTAAGTTTTCAGTACAGATTATTACAGTCTAGTGCTTACAGAAAACGAACTGACTAAATAAAAAAGACTCACAACAACAAATCTCCTGCAAATGTAACGCTGTTCTTACTGCTTTACTTTAATCTATGGATTACCTTTTATTTTCAAATTGTTACTCAGTGACTTGTGAAGACTATAGAGGTGCATTGCTGAGTGTTGCAGAAGACTAAAGGAGAATCTGCAACTGTGGGTCCTTAGGAAGTCGGTATCACAGGACTCCATAGAGTTCATATGGTTCAACTTCTCTGGGCAGCCTTTCTTGATTTTCAGCTGCAGAGAGTAGAGAATTCTGTTCTTAAGAAAAAAGTGGTTTAAATTACTCTTTTAAATAATTTGTCTTAGTGGCATCTTTCTCATATACACATAAATCCCATCTATAAATTTGGAAGTCTCCCAAAAAGGTTTTTGTGATGTATAACCCAAAGGCAACAAATAAATAACACTTTCACTTCTGTATCCACATAATTATGATGGCATGTATATAATTAAAAGATTAAAAGATATTAATTAAAAGATTGAATTTCTCATTTCATCCACTGCATGGCAGCCACTTAGATGTTGTCTAGCTGTGAGAGTCTTGAAGAGGATCACAACAGGAGATTTCCCCATAGGGTTGTAAGAAAGAGCAAAGTCTATAACTGTACTGGTTCATTACCAGGTAACAATTTTAATATCACCAACAAAATCAAATTCCTCATGCAAGTTATTTTTCTTAGCAATGCTGTGGCTAAAAGAATGCCATTGCATCGAGCAGCTGTTGCAGCCTTGCTGAAACATGTCATCTGCTGACAATGATTCAACATGATTTTCTCCTCTTTATGCTTCACATGAAAGAAAAAAAGGGCAGAGTATGATCCACTGGACAGCAGTAAATGGGCAATTCAGTGGAATGCTTGCATGTTGCAAGGCAGCCCTGCCTAACAGGATACTGTTCTCGTGCTGCCAGGTGAATTATCCCAGCAGAAACACCAGACCAGCAGCAGCCAGAGCTGGACACATTCGTCTTTGTCGCTTACCAGTGCAATCCCTGATTGTGACTATTCAGTCTCAATGAAATAGCTCCCCATGTAGTCATGTTGCTGTGTTAGTGTGGAGCATGGGATTACTAGATAATACCATTAAGGTGTGACCTGAAACCATGCAGTGAAGAAAAGGAGAATGCCTTTTGTAATTAGTTAGGAAGGAATTTGGTTTGGGTTCAAGTAGTATTCATATGTGTTAAGAAAAATATGTTGAACAGACAGGGCATCAATTGGTAGTGGCAGATGAACATGCAAACAAGGTGAAAATTACGTGTTTCTTCCAGTTAGTTTTCATAGTCACTCCAAGGATCTGATTGTGGTCAAATGTGATAACCAGAGGGTCCACAGGAAGCACAAACTGGTGGTCCAAAAGAAAAAGGAGCTGAGGCCTTGAAGAGATCAGTAAGAAATCTGAGAGAGAAACAGCAAAATGCTGTTTGACAGAGCTGATAGAAAGGCACAGCTCCAAGCTGTGGAGCTGGGCACACTTTGCAAAGGGTGTGTACATGACAGTGGCCATGACAGATGGCTGCTGGAAATGGTAACAACAGGAAGACCTGGAAATGTAGTCAATGAGACAAATGTGATCCAATTTCTTCTCCTGCCTTACCCAACCTTTCTGCTTCTTCCAAGTGTTGGGTGCTCACAAAGATGGTAAAGGAGAGAACTCCAGTTCTGTAACAAATTACACTGTTAACATAAAAAGGCATTAAGAGATTTAAGTACTGAGTGCAGGAAACTGCATCAGCACTAAAAGTGTTCTGACCTATTACTCACCATGAGGGTAAATGCGTTTAATTGTGAAATATTTTATCTGCATCTAATATTACTTGCTGTGTAAGACATTGCCTATTGATACACAGTTCAGTGTTCACTCATTATTAATGAAAATGTATCCATGACTAAAATCTATAATCTTTATTAACCTCATTTTACAATATTTTTAGGATTCTCTACAATTTGGCTATTGAAAATAGGTTATCTCAAAGAAAAGATAAGTAAAAGGTCATTGTCCCTCATCTGGTATTGACAGAAGCTGTCTTACTACAAGAAATGTTTATGCCTTCAGGCTGTAGGAGGCTGCTGAGCATCCATGAGCACGAGCAGTCTCCCTGGGCTTGCAAGAACCAGTACCTCTGTATGCCAGAGCTAAATTATGCCCCTCAGCTATTGGATTGGTATGTGTGCTCCTAGAGGCCATCTACACATCTTTGTTTCACAGTTTCTACAACAGCTAGGGCACAATATCGGGAGTAAAAGTGCATTAGTAAATTCTTTTAGGCAGGGATTTTCTATCTCATTATTTCCTTGTGGAATTAAACCAGTCATCCAGAAAGAAAAATCATTAAAATTCAGCAAAGAATTGAAACAGTTAGAATGAGATTTGCTTTTTTTAAGATAACCCTTGTTTAGCAGAGATGTGTGGCCCAGAGGAGAGGTCTTCTGCTGGTTGGTCCCACTTTTCAAGTGTCTAAATGAGAATTTACAATGCTTTTAAGTCTCAGCCAAATAGGACATATCCTTGGGCCAAGTTAGTGCTCTAATTTGCAGCCTGTGCAACTGAAACCTTGTACTGTATTGGGCTTCTGAAATACTTTACCCAAATACATGTAATATCATTCACTACAGGTTCTTTTAAATTAAAGCCAAGTTCTCTTTGTGCCACAATTGAGTCCACTTATCTTGGAATATAACATTTTTGTAACTATTTAAATTGGATTTCTTGCACATTAATTAGCACATTTAGGGTGTGAGCTGGTGCAATGTCTTTAGGAATTAGGCTAGCACTGAGAAAGTCACCCAAGCAGGAATCAAATATGTTGAAGAGGGGTTGTCTGCAGCCTGCTGAGGGAGGTATGCTTCATGCCTCCCTGCAACAATAATTCTGTAGCACCTGTTTAATTGGGCCATGGAAATGTACAGCTAGCTTCTTCAGAGTTCAAACACAGTATCTTCTGCAAAGCTAGCAGGCTCTGCAGCACGTCTTGAAAGTGAATGTGGGAGACAAAGGAGAGAGTGGAGGGCTGATTGTGGACTTTTGTATTTTGTTTTATTTCAAGGATAACAGCAGTTGTTTGGTTTTTTTTCAAACAGGTACATGATTACCTTAGGAGCAAGTTGTGTTCTCTCTATGAAAATGACTGCATCTTTGACAAGTTTGAATGTGCATGGAATGGATCAGACAGGTAATCCATCTTTGTGTCCATAAGTGTCTTCACATAGGAAAAGAGCTCACATATGATGGGGAACAATCAGAAAGTATTGTGTTACATCTGGTTATTTTCCACATCAGTTTACATCTTCACATACCAATGTTCAGGTTGATAAAAGGTCATGACATTGACATTGGAATGGACTTCCCTGGGAAGTGGTGGAGGCACTGTCCCTGGATGTGTTCAAGGAAAGGTAGGATATGGCACTTCATGCCATGGTCTAGCCAGTATGGTGGTGTTGGTCATAGACTGGACATGATAATCTTAAAGGTCTTTTCCATCCTTGGTAATTCTGTGATTCTGTGAAGGTGTTTGGATATTAGGGTAGTTGCATCTGTGACCTCATGAGACACAATGTGTACCTTGTTAATCTTGGGTGATGCCTGAGGGAGAAAAAAGTCAACCTTCAAATTCTGTGATCACCAAAATCGTAAGTGGCTTCAGAAGTTATAAATATGCTGCCAACTTGCACATCCACACCAATACACTAAGGAAGCTTGTGTGGTCCTGTATTAAAACATGAGATGCCTCAGAAATCCAATTCATTCACTAGAAACAGGAAGAGAGGAAAGGCAGTCACAGGCACCCTCTGATCATCTACAAACTGCTGTCACCTCCCCACTGACATAAATGACAGTTCTTCTGATATGTACCCCTATCAGAGCAGTCCCTTTCTCTCTGCACTGAAGAAGACATCCTGTTTTTATCTTGGACATAATATCTTGTTGAATATTTTCATGAGAAATATAGACACAGCAAGTCAGTGAGTGCAAGCAAGGATGCAATGTGTTAATGCCATAGTGTTAGCAAATGGTGGCAGCACTTCGGGGACTAGGAATATTCTACAGCAGTCAAGCAGCAGTCAACTGAGCAGTCAAGCAGACGGGGATAATAAAAATGGATTAAATCCAACTGTGTAATGCAAGGTGAGGATTTTAGTTTAAAAGCACAACACCTATCATCTTATCAATTGGAAGCAACTCACAGGGAGTTCATACACTAGGTGACTATAGAAGGGATTAGCAATCTACAAAATGCATGTGAGAGTGAGCACAGGAGTAAATTTTGAATGTTACACAGTGACTTCTGGCTTAGCAAAGCTAGGAGCCAAGAGGCAGAGGTCGGGCAGTGGATGAGAGCCTGGAACTGTGCCTTCAGCTCACTTAGCCTCTCTTTTGGGAAAGAGAAAAATGATCCATCTCATTGTATTTCAAGCAAGCCTGCCCTCCTGTACTGGGCAAGGACTAAGAAACTGAGTGGGGGACTGCTGTGAAAAAGGGGAATATGATCCTTGAATAGGCAAGGCTGGGATATCCAGCAGAGAAAAGCAGTGGTGGCATTATGTTAGGATCTTATTCAAAGATCTTTGGACTACAATTACACATTTTTTTGTTCCTCATCTCTAAGCTGGATGAACTAATTGGGCAAATAGACTCCAAAGAGAGGAGTGGTCAGGAGTATGTTTTTGATCAGCTTAGCAAAAGAGAAGCCAAGATTATCCTTGACATACTATGTCAAGGTATACACAGGGACTGAGAGGATCTAGCTAAGATAAATGTGAATTATAAGGGCACAACAGCAAATAGGTATTGAGTGACAACAGTTAATTATAGCCTGGAAGTAAGTAGTTCATACCTGGTCAAACCGTAAGTGTGCAGCAGTCTTCCCATCCTGAGTAGTGGAAATGTAAGAAGCCAAACTGTTTTGGTGGTGGTGCTCAGGAAATTTGTGAAAGCAGTTATATGAGATGCTGGTTAAAATGACAAGTGTCTGAACCTGGAGGTGTAAAAGAGGTCTCTTGCAGTCCTGTGTTCCACAAATGGAGATAAAGTGTAATGCTGCACACTGGGCAAGGGGCATCTTCTGTTTGGACTGCTTTTCTTTGCTCAGTTCCTGTACCTCCCCAATGGATAGAATCTATCATTCCTAAGAAAAACCTTTTACCTTGTGTCCTGTATTATGCAAATGAAAAGACATACTTCCATACTGTTGTCTACATGCCAGAGTAATGTTATGTCTGACAAGGATTAACTCAGGTTTGAGTATCCCCTGTGATGCAAACTGCTGGCCATTTAAAGTTACATAGGTGGGCCACACTGGGCAAAATCCTTCTCAGATGGCTATGACTGCAACTTAGGCACCAGCTGTTGTAGAAGTGGCTTTGATATGGTCAGAAAGTAGGAATGACCCACAGTTTTAGGGGAAGATCCAGGTTTTGATGCTTTTCTCTGAACCTTGCAAACACATGCATCTATGGATGGTTTAGCAGAGGGCTGTCTCAGGAGCAGGGTTACTGCTTGAGTGTGGTCCTGCTGGAAACACCAAAATAAAAGCCTTTCTTGGAAATGTGGATGATGCTGATCCTTGCCTATATCCTACACAGAAGAATCAAGCAATCAAATAATTTTGGTATTTTGAAATGGACAAAAATTCAGAGCTTTTCAGATCCTTTCAGAGCATTTTGCTCATCCTTGATGGGAATTCCCAGTGTGTTGTACAGTATGGACAGCCACGTGTTCCCAGGCCCAGGCTCTTCCTTCTGTATTCAAAGAAAGTGCTGCCATCCTCATTGGTGCAGTAAGGCACACCCTGGATAGTTGCCTGGTAAGAGCAGAAATTATTCAATATAAAGGTTTAAAGTGAACGGAATATTTTCATTCCTACTTGACAGATCAGCAAGATCAATGCAGTGAGTAATTATTAAGTGGGAACATTAGATTGTGGGAGCTTCATGTATTGTACTGCCCAGACACTGGGGCATTGTTAGTCGTGCACAATTACCAGACCTGTCACTAAACACACTGTGCTGCTCTTGATTGAAAGAAACTGTTGAGTAGAGTAGCTGGCAACGTTTGACAAGAGATAAGGGTTTGCTTTAATTTAGCTGTTTCTCTTTAAGAGTCAAATATATCACCACTGATGGGTTTGTGGTTTTCTGCTTTTTGGGTTTTTTTAATGAACATTTACTTCCTTGAGCTTCTTGCTTCTGTGTTTGACAAGTATTGTTTTGCTACACACAACAAAGGTTTGGGTTTTTTTCTGTAGATCCAAATTTAAATTATATTTGAGTAGCAGTAATTCATAAAGAACAGATCATTTGAATAGTATGGCTGCTTAATTTGATCCTTTTGGCATATACATTTTTAGAAAGGAGTACTGCTGAAGGAAAGCAATGCCAATTAACAATGTTACTCTTAAAAGATGCTGCAGTACAGTAATTGTATTATTAATATGTATACATAATGGTAATAACTGCAGACCTGGACATGTTATTTTTGTCTTTTGCAGACTTTAAAGCTACAAGAACAATTTAAAGTGACAGGATTGTTCAGTTAAAAATGAAGGCATATTTAATATTTAGGTGAAAATACTTTTTACTAATTTTTGTCATTACTAGGGAGTTAATCTAGGCTACGATAGAACCTGATGGTGAGGCTGTGTACAAAAAAAAAAAAAATCAATGTACATGAGCTCTGATTAGGACGTGATTGATGCTCAGTTACTCCAATGAACAGGAACTAATATGATCAGACAGACCCGATCTCATTTGCTGAAGGGCACATTAATCATGATGTACTTTGGCAACAACAGTGGTCAGGGGAGGGAGTCATGCAGGGGTCTTACAGTAATTCAACCAGGTGAGCATATCTTATATGTAGTTGAGTATATTACACTAAAATCATGCCATATTTATTGTATATACATCATTACATGACTATGTAGAGCATGTGAGCCCTATGTATACATTGATGTAATTTAGTTCAACCATTCACTTCTGAAGTCGGGTCTTTTAATAAAGACCTGTAAGACACTATTTTCTTCTCACTGTCAGCTATACTTTTTTGTTATTTCAATTTTACCGGAAAAATTAGCACTTAGGGAGCTGTTTGTGAGTTGCAGGAGAAGCCAGTGAAATAAGAAAACAGTGTAGTAATTCTACATGTCAGTAAGCAAATACCTTAATTACTAGTGAATTCTTACTTTAAAAATTTCAAATGAATGGGTATGTGGGAACCCTTCCAGGGAGACATCTGAATACCATCATGCCAAGTGATATGCTGCAAGCAGATGAGTAAAGTCACATACAACAGTTAATTCAGTCCTTTCCTACTGAACTGTCATTCATCCCACTGAGTATCTGTCGGCCTTTTACTCTAATCAGGCAGAATTGGCAAGTCCCAGTGGATGAGATGTTAACAGTCAAGCAAGACTGGAGGTAGTGGGAGATGGCAAAGAAGGGTGAGCAGGGAGAACTCCAAGAGTAAAATGAAGAGATGAGATGAAAAAGAGACAAAGTAAAAAAAAAAAAAAAGAAATAAAGTGAAATGATAGAGTGAAGCAAAAGAAACAAGACAGAGCAGGGAACAGAGGATGAAGCTATGGAGGACACTTCACTGGTAGGAGAGAGAAGCAGATGAAGTGTTTTTTAAAAACTGCTTAGCAGGGTAGAGGGAAATGGAAAAAGTGAGGGGGAGGAGAAAGAGGAGGAGGGAAAGGAAAACTTAACTAGAATGTGTGGTAAAGGCAAGTCAAGACTGCAGGGGAAGAAAGAGAAAAAGAACAGAATGGCAACTCTGGAGGGAGTAAGAAGGAGAGTAGGATAAAAATAGGATCAGATTGTGCTGGGGTTTTTCCTTCCCCTTTTACTTTCTGTAAGAATACATTTGTCCTGCTTGTAAAGAAAAAAAATATGGATAGTATTTCAGGCCATAGTGACCCTGCATTAGGACTGAAGTTTGGCAGTGAGATGCCTCAGAATGTGTGATTAATAAGAATACCCCAGCATTACCAGAATTTTGTGGTGTTGCTCAAAACGCACACACATTTGAAGAATCAACAGAATTTTTAGAGATGCTTGGAGCAGCTCTAAAAGAGGAAGCAGACAGTACTCTGTGCTCTGCAAAGCAGCACCACGAGGAGAGGGAAGCATGTTCCACTTGTGGGGTAGCGTGGGAGGGTTAGCATGGAGCTGTTGGAATGCATCTGGGGCCCTGCAGATGCAGGATGTTGCTTCTCCTTCCAGAGCACTGCCTAGGCTGCCAATGCATGAAATGTAGGCTGTGGTAGCCATGTTACTGCCGTTGGGGTTTTTTTTGCTTGTTTTAATTTATTTTTTTTTTAATCATCCTGCCTTCATCTGTGGGGGGTTGAGCTGAGTCTATCAGCAGCTTCCCTCCAGCCTGAGGTGTCAGTACACTGCTCCACAGGGCACTCTGGAGTGTGTTCTGTGTCCTAAATATCCCTGCACAGCTAAGATGATGGTACCTATGACCATGTGTAGCAAAAGTTGTAAACCTGCTTTCTGCATAAAATTAAATGTGATTAGGCAGAGCTTTTCTTGGCTGCTCCCTTACACAGCTATGAGGTAGTGTGGGGTGTTTTGGGTAAGGGGAACCAGGCTCACTTTTATGGGGTTTGTGCAAGCACTCATCATAACAGTGCTGGGCAGAGCAAAGAGTCTGGAAATACAGAACACATTCTTTTTATATTCAGCTACAATTTTTATTCATGTATATGTATGGAGATCTCCTCATTGCATGGGTTCCATTATTGTACATTATATTTTCCTGAACAGAAATAAATTGCAGGCTTATATCTAGTTATTACTCTTTTTTAGTGTTATTTTAAGCAGCAGGTAAGGTTATAATCCATCTATGTTTGTGACCTTGAACAAGAATGGGCACTTTCTCATTTACATAATGCTATTTTTTACTGAGCCATTAAACTGCAGAAAAACAGGGCCAGCATGAAAAGTAGTCATCTACATATGTTAAAAAAAATAACTGCAGTAAATCCAAAGAAAGCAGACTTTTAAATATATGCGACGGTTCAAGAAATTAAAAAGCAAATGGGCTGTAAAGGCAGTTTTACTGCAAGCAAAACCTCCTCAAATGAGATTCTTGGCAAACACTTCTGTATTCATTTGGTGCACTGATACTTGGGCTTTGTGAAGACTGCTCCCCTGATGGTTCTTGCCTCAACCTGGAGGGATGCTCCTCATTCCCCTGGGAACCACAGCTCTGCAGCCCATGGAACAGGGTGTTCAAAATTTTGCCTGGGGGTATAAAAAAAGCATAATACTGTTCTGGGCTGTTTGCATCACAAATTGTGTATGTTAGCAGTGAGATATGAAATAACCTCGACTTTTTCATGTTGTGAATAACCATTACAGCAGGAGCTGTAATGACAAGACATGGTGATTTGGAAGGAGTGAAACATTAGATTTACTACTGTTGATTCAATTCCTGAAATGGGCACTAATCTTGATCAATAGGCTTTCTGCAGCTTGTGGGATGTGTTTTATCAAGCTGTCAAATGACTTTTTTTTTTTTTTTTTTTTTTTTTAGCTTGTGAAGTTGTTAACTTGTGCCTTATTAAGCAGGGTTGTGCCAGGTCTTTGCAGGTGGGGAATGTACGGGAAACCTCACTTTAGATGACCCAATGGCAGGTACTGCTTCTGTGCTCTCCTGAGCAGCGAGGCAGCTCCCTGCAGGGCTGGCTGCAGCTGGGGATGGACAAGTGCTTCTGTTGCCCATCCCTGAACTCAGCAGCAGAGCAGTGTACAGCCAGGTGTGCTGCCTGCAGACTCAGGAGCACAGTCTCTGGCAGGGTGAAGGCTGTGGGTGACCTGTTGCTGAGGGCAGCGTGTGCTGTGTCTCTGTGCTACTCCTGTCTGATTTGCAGCAGTTCCCTTCAGCACTTCAGGAGCTGCAAAAAGCTCTGTGTGGAATCAGCCACCATCAGACTCCAGTGTGCCACCAGCAAACATGGGAGCAAGATTGAGCTGGCAGCCCTGCTGGTGATTCAGTGTGTACAGCTCCAGCTCACCCACTTTAGTCACCTCAGCAGCTCTGAGGTGAGCAGGGCTGCTGCCAGGCTGTAGCTGTGGTGCTAAAGCAGTTAGCTGCTCAGCTGCCTTTTGTGCTGTTTTCAGTGTATTATCCATTTGTATTACAGTAGCTTCTAATGGCCCCAAATGAGATCAAGGCAATGCTGGCTGGAGGCTGTGCACACAGTGTAAGGCAGCTCCTCAATCCAGGAGCATGTAATCTAATCAGCTAGTGAGTATCTGGATAGTTTATGCCTTATCCTCCCATGGTTGCAGATGCAAGTGCTGAAGCAATGCAGCTGTCTTTTGAGAGGGAGGACAGTTTATTATATGAGACACACAAGAAATATGTTCTGTTGGGCTGTAATTCCTGTGGAGATTTGACCATTCGGGGTGAGTTCCCCTTCCAGAATGGAAATTCAGATAAATGACCTATTTGGGGCTGAGACAGGAGAGTAGAGCGTGGCCCTGGCTTCAGATATGGAAAAAGTTCATAGGGGATGAGCTTTCAAACAAGGCTCTGAAATCCATGATTATGCTAATCCAATAACCCGAGGGCCATGGATGAAATCCTGAATTCATTAAAGTTAGTGACAAAATATCCTTCCCTAGAGACTGGGGGAATGAAGCAAATGGCAATCCATTATTTCAAACTACAAGCTGATTAATGGGGTAATTTTTATACAGGTTGAGGTATGTTTTCTGTCCCTTTCTCCCAGACCCAGACATATCCTGGCTTGAAGCTTCATTCAGACTTCATAGGAGAGATGACAGAATCCTGTTTATCAGTGTCTTTATTTTTAAGGAGCATTGTAGGTTCAAATTTTAATGGTGTCTAGACTTCTAAGGTCTATGGCTTTAGAAGGGAGAACGGATTATAATTTACTTGTGCAAACTCTGCAATTTTTCAGAACTTTGAAACCAGCTTTCTTCAAAATGGTCATTAAAATATATAATTATGTACTAAATATTACATTGTTTCAAAAACTTCAAAATACTTTGAACTTTTTATTTTTTAAAGACTTATCCTGTAATCATGGTAAATCTCAGCTATCAGAAAAGGTAAGGCTCTGGAGAAAGAAAAAAAGCCTGAGAAGTATGATCCTTAAATGCTCATAAAAAGCTGTAGGGTAATTAAAAAAAAACTTTATTGAAACATATTACTTTTATTGTCTTGTGAAGTCAATCTCATGACAGTTGTGGACACTTCAGGATGCAAGTTTTGGTGTAGCTGAAATTTTCATTGAATGCTCCAATAGGGAATGGGAAGATATTGGTAGAATATATAGAACTATTCACCCTGCGGAGTACTGGGAAAAATCATTTTTTATACTCTTTC